AAAAAAAAAAAAAAAAAACTAAATTTTTTAAAAAAAATTAAAAAAAAAAAAATAAAATATATAAAAAAAAAAAAAAAAAAAAAAAAGGCATGTATATATATATATATATATATGAATATAATATAATAAGCTAGGAGACCCATAAATGAAAAAAAATAATATTAAAATATGACACCCCTTAATTCAATGGGGCTGGTGAACACTCTTAAGCTAGTTGTTTTTTTTTAACAAATATACATAAATATATGTATGCATATATGTGCTTTTTTTTTTTTTTTTTAATTATGTAATTATATTTTTTTTCATAATTATATTTTTTTTTTACAATTATATTTTTTTTCATAATTATATTTTTTTTTATAATTATATTTTTTTTCATAATTGTATTATTTTTTATAATTATTATATTTTTTAAAATTATATATTTTTTTTTATATGACTATTTTTTATGATGTAATTATTTTTTTATAAATATTTTCCATAAGGTAATAATTTTTTATGTTATTTTTGATGATTATTATGTATGATATAATAAAATTTTGTTTTTAAAAATATACATGGGTTGAAATAAATTTGAAAAAAAAAATAAATAAATAAAACAAAATATATTACAAATGAATTTTTACAAATGAGTTTTTACAAATGAGTTTTTACAAATGAGCTTTCTTTATAAACATGACTTTTTTTTTTATATTTTAAAGATACAATGCAAGTTATTAAAAGAGATAAATATATAAATTGTATTTTTTTATTACATCATATGGTCGATTGCAAAACTAGCAATAATTTTAATTAAGTTCTTTTTTTATTTTTTTAAATTGGTATATATATATATGTCAAAAACAATAATTCTTCAAATGATGAGTAATTTATTTGCGATGGGCGGACTGAAAACGTGTATTCAATTAAACATGTAGAAAATCGCCGAACTGATAAGAATTATAATTGTTTTTAAAAAATACATACATATACGTGCATATATATACATATTCATATATATATCTACATGTGCTTATATATATATATATATATATATACATATGTATATATAATATAAAATTATATTACAGCTCTTGATAATATATGTATAACAATGTATGTATATAAGATCGAGTTCAATTTAAAAGATTTTAAAATAAAAAAAAGAAACGTATAGAAATAGGTTATATTTTCATGTACATACAAAATACATATATAGTGATCGGTTATGGTGACATATATTGTGATTGCTACGACTATATTACATGTACGTTTACATACGAACTTACGTACGTACGCAATTGTACAGTTTTCGTTATTATTTTTATTTATTATGATAAATTTTTTCTTATAAGTTTTTTTTTTTTTTTTTTTTTTTTTTTTTTTTTTTTTTTTTTTTTTTATACAATAACAAAATTAATATTTTTACCATTCTTAAACTGTTCGTTTGCAAACTCATCTTCGATAACATGTATGGACAAAATTTGAGAAAACAATTTAATTTTATTTAATATGTCACATATGTATGAGCTGTTATTTATGAAATAGTACTGATCATTTATAAATTCCATATAACATAAAAGCATATTACTTTTCTGATTTTTTTTAATCACATCATAGTAATCCATTATACATTGATTTTCTGAAAAATCCAGTATTGTATCAATTATATTGTTTTGAAAAAAAATAAAAAAAACTGTAAAATGTATATACATATTTAAATCGAGGTAAAAGACTGGTTCAATATTATTATTATTATATGCATTATCTAATAATTGAATGCTTCTTTTTTTTAATATATTTTGAATAGCATCCATATTTTGTTTTTTTTTTTCTTCAAGTAATTTTTGTTGTTGTTCTTTTTTTTTTTTATTATTTTGAAAATTGGTATATTTTTCTAATATATTTTTTTTAATTCTTTCATAATGTTTTGTATCTATTAATAGATTGGCATTTTCTTTATTTTTTAAAATGTCATCCAACATAGTAATGTATTGATATGCGTCTTTATATAGTTCCAAATAATTGGAACATAAAATTAGGTAATATATGCTTTTATACTTTGTTTTGTTAAAAAAAAAAGATTTTTTACAATCGTTTAAGCATTTTACATACATTTTTTTTTTGAAAAAAATTATTGCTCTGTTACAATATAAGTCTGAAAGTAAGTTTTTTATGTCAGTTAAGGTAAATATATTTTTTTCCTTTTCATTTTGTAAAACATTTAAATGGGAACATTTATTGTTATCATGGTGATTTGTTTTTTGTTCTGAAAATTTTTTATGTTGGTGATGATTGTCTCTAGTGATATTCTCATCCAGGATGTTATTACTGTTATTATTTCTGTTTGCCACAGTACTGTTTGTGTTTGCCACAGTACTGTTTGTGTTTGCCACAGTACTGTTTGTGTTTGCCACAGTACTGTTTGTGTTTGCCACAGTACTGTTTGTGTTTGCCACAGTACTGTTTGTGTTTGCCACAACACTGTTTGTGTTTGCCACAGTACTGTTTGTGTTTGCCACAGTACTGTTTGTGTTAGGAATAGGTACACTGTTGTTTTTATTGTTAGCATCATAATTAAAACCTTCATAGTTTAAACTTTCTTTGTCACTAGTTTTGGCTGTAATCTGTTTTTTAGCATTATATTTTGATTCATTTTCAGACAAGTACTTATTTAATATATCTATACCTTTAGTATAGCTGATAATGGCATCATCAAAATGTTTTAATCCTTCTTTGTAATAATCATTTCCTACTTCTTTATAATTTTTGGCTAATGTATACTCGTTTTCATCAGTTATCATTAAATTGTATAATGCAGTAAGGTCTTCATTCTCCTCAATGTTGTTTGGGAGCTTATCCATAAATAAAGGGTGTTCAACATTTTTATATTTTTTTGATAAACTTTTAATATACGCTTCGTCAAAGTTAAAATCGTCTTCCATTGTTTTTGCGTTTTTTTATAGCCACATGCGTAAAAATATAAACATATATATATACCACTTTATATATACATATATAAAGTGGTATATTATGAATATATTATATGCTCATGCTCATGCATTTTTTTTTTTTTTTTTTTTTTTTTTTTTTTTTTTTTTTTTTTTTTTTCGTTACAGTGTTAAGCAAATAAATTTATGCATTTATTAATTTTTTTTTATATATGGTTCATTTTAGATATTTTAAAGTACTGCTATATGCATTTATACATATGCCTTATAGATTTATACACTTAATTTTGCATAATAAGTATAAAAAAAATTGAGCTATTTATGTATATAAGATAGGATGACTCACTGTGAAACTTAACATAAAATAAAGAATTTGTTTTTTTTTTTTTTTGTAATGACAACAGTTTAAATAAGAGCGTAATATGCAATCTTGAAAGAACATAAATTACGTGATAATTATGTGAAAAAATGTACATATATTTATTTATTTATTTAATATTTATTTATTTATTATTTATTTTTTTTTTTTTTTTTTTTTTTTATTTTTTTTTTTTTTTTTTTTTTTTTTTTACTTTCATTCGTTAATTAGATTATTAATTAATAGATTATTAATTAAATTGAGTCTACAAACTAATGAAAATGAATATATATATATATATATAGGGTTGTGCAATGTTTTTATGCAAGTGGCAGTTTGATATAGAAACAAAAGGAGATATACGTTTGTATATATGTGCACATACGTATATGTTTGTACATGTATCGTATACGTAAAAAAAAAAAAAAAAAAAAAAAAAAAAAAAAAAAAAAGTTATTCAAATAAACTAGAACAAATAAAAAAAAAAAGAATATGGAGAAGAACTTGTGATAAATGACATATACAACGTGAAGGTAATAGATGTAATTTTTAATTATATAAAAAAAAAAAAATAAATAAAAAAGTAAAAAAAGGCATAATTTATATATGCATAGCTTATTAATAAGAATAAAATATATATATATATATATATATATATATTACTAAACTTTTACTTTTTGAACACAAATTTCATACATTCTTAAATATTGAAAACATCTATTATATGAATTAACAAAGTTAGTTGTCGATTTATTCATAGTTTTAAGACAATTATAAATTTTATTTTCATCTTCAGAACATTCTTTATTTGTTTCAAATATATCAAAACTTGTTTGATTTTTAACAAATAAATCATCTTTTTGATTTTTTAAATGTATTTCGCTATCTTTGACTAAGTCATCAAGTACCTTACTTTTTATTTTACTATATTCTTTTTCTAAAAAAAAAAAAAACATATAAATAAATATAATAAAACGATTGATAAATACCATTACAAATTAGTACATTCATAATAGTATTTTAATGACGACTCTGTTTTTTTTTTTCTTTTTTTTTTTTTCGCCTAGTTCATGTACCTATATCCTCTGCAGTTTTTTTTAAATCAGTTTCCAATTTCGGATTACTAGATAGGTCTAACTCTTTAGTAGTTTTTTTTGGGTCAGTATTATAATTACTTTTTTTTGGTTCTGTATTATAATTATTTTTTTTTGGATATTTATCATCTATTAGTAATAGTGCGCCCTGTTTGGTGTGTGGAGTTTTTGCTATGAGATTTGCCAT